TTAAGACATTTATATCATGCACCAAATAAATGATACAGAGAGATAATATAATAATAATAAGTAACTTGTTTTTCTTGTATGAATCATTTGCACACAGTTATAAATTAATGTGTGATTATGATTTAAATAATAGAAACAGAATAATTTTTGAAGCTTTTGTGTGGTATTAATAAGTTATAAGTTGATGCTGTCTGTATAAATAAATTGTTAAATTTTTTTTATCTATTGTATTTTAAAGTAACACAACTATAATTTTTGATTTTAGTTTGCTCATCCATTATTTCAAGTTAACGGATTCAGACCAAAGCAATTTTTAAATGTTCTATCTGCAAATGTAAAAGAATTAACTAACAAGATTAAATGGAGTGTAGAAGAAAAAAAAATGATTGAAAACACATTTGACAAGTTGAATAAAATATCAAAATTACATTTTCATGACAGTCGATTTAATGATAATATAAAAACTGCTTTTCATAATAATAATGAAGCCAATTCAAATAAAAGACATCATAATAAACCGTATAATAATAGAGACGACAAATCTTGGCGAAAACAAAAGGTTGATTTGTCAGAGAATGGGTCTAATAATAGCCGTCAACACCAATTTGCTTCAAAACAAATAAATCAAAATAAGTCTTCAGAAAAACATAGTGATCTAAACATAAAACCTTCAACAAGCCAGCATAAAGTGATTGATTATAATTTTAAATTACCTACACAAAAATCAAATGAGCCAATAAACAGTTTGAATAATTCAGATAACATAAAGACAAAACTAAATAAATTTGAAAACAAATTTAGTTCCTCGAACGATTTACATGTTGTGTCATTAGAAAACAACTCTATCAGCAAACCATTCAGTAGTGTAATACGTGGCAGAGGTAGTAAAATATTTGGTGGTAATAAACTAAGTTGGCGAAACCCACAAAATAACCCTCAAAATCAAGACAGCTTTGAAATATTTCACAACAATGGTATTAATTCTCAACACTCACATGGATATAAAAACAAGTATCCAAAAAATCAACAAGACGGAGACCCAAAACATAAATTTGGGAATCGTCCACACTTGTCTAATAAGTCATGCAAAAAAGATATTGACGATAWTGAGAGTTAAATACATTTTTCAAAACTAAATTTAAATATAATTGATTTATCTTTTATTTTCACTAATAAAATTGTTAAATTTATGTACCTACTATTACTCTTTTAAGACTTTTTTACATTATGATTAACATATTAATAATCCAATTAATTACTTTTATTTTTATTTGATTATTATTCATGTTAAATTTAAAAAGTTGATAACTATTATTAAAGATTTACATTTTTTTTTTGATAATTTTTTGAAAAAAATTTTTTACTGAGCCTATTTAAAAAAATTGGTATACCAAGATTCTTAAATCTATTAAACCATATTGGGTATTCAACATTCGTTTAATATTTTAAGTCAAATTAAAAATCAAGATAATGTTAATTAACCTAACCTAACCCACATTAGTTTTAAAGTTATATAATATGGACCTTCTAATAAATCATATTCATACCGTTTTAGGGGAAAAGGTAGCATGGGTATTCTCAAGGGGGGATGAGGGTCTCATATCCACCCCTTCGTCTTATTTTTGTCATATAAGATACAGTGAAACTTTTAAATACTGGACACTCTGTCACTAAAACTTTGTCCGCTATTAAGAAATAAATAAAACAACTTCATACGTTGCCGATCCCAACATTCTGACCGTTATTTGAAAGTATCCGTTACGGGAGGTTTAACTGTACATGATAAATAAACGTATGTATGTATAAACTTTATCTAAGAATAGTAAAATTTCAACCATCCCTATTAAAAAATCTGTAAATCACTTTAAGACGATATAGTAGTATTTACTAAAAAGTTAATTGTAGCCTTATAGGTTCWAATAAATTATACGAATAAGTACAATAATAAATTGTATACCTAAAAATATTATAATATAATTCTTGTCAAAAATTAAATTAGCCCATTTTATTGTGTTGTTTTATACGTATAGTGAAATAAATTACTTTAATAAAAACATTAAAAAACATATGAACTATGAAGCGTACTGTTAAGTCATAAGTACCTAGTAGATGTAGACTAAAATACCGTCTTCACTCAGCTTCGTTTTACTCATAYAGTATAGTGATTCAATCATGAATCATGGAATTCAAATCTCACACATTTCACCGACTTACTCGATGACGAGGCATATTCGAAATTTGAAATTGGTGAACTGCAGCTGAGTGCTTAAATCAAGTATTCAAGTACCAGTTTCGATCCGGGTTTATGAGAAGAACGTACGAATTGAAACCCCATAGCCCATAATAATTACCAGCTCATATCAGCCTTTCAGCCTACCACCGATCAGTCACATACACAGAATACTATTTCGGGGGGGTACAAAATATAGCTACACAAATTGTACAGCAACGTAATAAAACAATTTCCTCCTACTTACTCATTATTTTTTAATGTGACAATTATTATGCTAAATATTCAAACTTTATCTATGTAATTTGTTCAGTGTTCAGAAGTCAATATATTTAGGAATAATAATAAATAAAACTTTAAATAATATATATTACGAACGTCGAACAGAACAGAAATGTATTTGATTATTATATGCACATACAATTACCTAGGTATATTAAACTTTTAAGTAGATAGAAGAAAAAATGGGTGGTGTCCACTGTCCATGGGTTTTTTAATAACTTGTATTTTTTTTGCATGATTTATATTATTAAAAGCTGATAAAAATAATCCAATATCCAGAGAATAATTTTTTAACGATTCATTGTCTATATTTGTATCAAGTTGCGTCTGCAAAGAGTTTGGTACATCAACTTCGGTTGCAATATTTTCTATATTACTCGATTCACTTTCAGTTTCTTCATTATTTTTAATTATTTTTACACCAAAATTGAATAATGACGGTTGATCACTATTTTTTTTCATTATAAAAAATAAAATATATAATATTTAATAAATTTGGTTATTTAAAATTTAATCAGTTTTCATAAGTTAGAACTCGCAAAAATAACCATAAAACTATATCGCACTCGTATATTATAAGTTATAACTTACTGTTCAAATACCGAACACACAAACACAGACCAAACTAAACGTCTAAACGACCGTCATTGTTTAACAATTATTGTAGTTTARYAATTGAATAGAAATTGTTGGTGACCGATCGAGTACGGAAATAAGATAAGATAATCTTATCCACAAAATATGAGTTTTCTAGGTATGTCGCAAATCGCAATAATACAGTTCGTTCTGTGTACTGTGTTCGTGCGTAGTCCTCAGCAATCACCTCGATCATTCAACTATGATAATAATACTATCAATTATATAGGTATAAACTTGTATTTCATACCCGACTAATAAACAGAGAAAAACAGTCAACAGTTAATTATAAAAATATTTTATAATAAATTTGACTTAATTTTCCAAGAAATTATTTCGGGAGGGGGGGTATACGTATACGTGCATGCTACCGATACTCTGACGCCACACAAAGGTTGGCAAATGCTCAAACGTTAATAATTCGTCTCCCAAAAATATAAATTTTTTTGGAGGCAYTTTTAAGTTTGGTTTAATTGTAGTTTAGCTACCACGCGATTTTTTCGAAACATATTTATTTCAACGAGTTAAGAACAATGATGCAAAAATAAATTTGCGCAAACCGTTATTTTGGAAATGACAGCCTTCCTAAGTTTGCGATTTCAGTTTTAAACGCATGCACGCAACGMTGTTTACTTACTGCCGCGCGGAAGTCTTCCATACTATACTAATTAGTAAAATAAAAACTGGCCATTGAGTCTGTAATAACCAGGGCTAGGATTTGTATGCATGTTTTTTTTCCGACATCTGATTATTGATTTTATCAGTAATGTCCACRAATCAYCTCATGATGAGATAAATGGTGGTGTTTTTATTTTGCATATTTCAATATTTGGATAAAATGCATGTTAATGCATATATTGAATAAAATRAATATTATTGCATATTTCGATTATAAGAATACGAAAAATGCATGTTTTATAGTATATTTCGTAATTAATATTTATAATTTAATATTAATATTTCGTATTCAATTCTAGCTCTGCTGATTAAGAGGATGTCGGCGTACTATTTGTTTTCTCTCTCTGGACCACCGGACCACGCGTAACATAGACAAAACGCATTTACAAAGAATCATTTTTTCTATGTCTTTAAGTAATTTTAGAGTAAAACCTTCCATTACAAAATAGATAAAGAATAATATTTTTGAGGGAATGACATATCGATTTTATATTTTATTGATATTTGACTTTGTATTTGACTTTCAAAATAAACAAAAAAACACTGTACATTTAAATAATGTTTAAATTATTAAAAGACAATATTTAGACAAATCGATATGTCATTCCCTCAAAAATA